GACAGGGACCGCGTAGAAGCGGAATATTCTGGAGTTGTTGGGTGGTTCTTCGCGACATAGCACACCTTTTGGGTTTGTGAGAGTGTACTCGTAGACTATATTTCTGAGCTCGGCAGGGAGTCGGAAGAAATGGCAAGTGCCATCCGGGGAAGGTTGGTTTGGATCCATGATGTCTTTGCAGCGGTTCGGAGTGGTGGGTATAATTGCGTTGGGTCGAGAAGTCGATCTTTTGGGACATGGAGATATTGAGATGTTCGATGATGCGATGTCTTTAGACGCGTGCACTGTATTTCTATATCGCCCTGCACTTTACTTATATGGCTGAGTGGCCGTCCTTCGGCTGCCCTCTATTGGTACCTTGGTACTGCGTTAGTGGATCTAGATAGCGATGAACCACCTACAACTTCTGCATTTTGAACGATATCTATCAGAAACTAGATTTTTGGGTCGGAAAACCTGCTCCCTCCCAATACCAGACAGTGGTGGTCTTGCAGTTATGCTGTCTTGCAATGCTGATCGCGCAACCAAAAATCCATAAGTACATCGTACAAGACGTCGCCCGTCGAACGGCACCGGTGATGTCCGATTCAAATATGATGCCCAAGCTTTGAGCGACGAAATAATAGTTGGAGATTTAGAGTAGTGTCGGCACCTGGGCAGGCTAGAAGGCTAACCGTAGCGCTACTGCGACCCTTAGCCTGATACTAAGCGACATGTAGGTCTGAGAATGTCTCCACGAGCATCATTTAAACACTGTACGATGGGCGGAGTTGATGCAGATGGTAGCTGCCTGGGCATCTGCCCGGGTGAAGGTAGAAGTTGCGAGGTCGAGCCATTGACAGGTAAGAGCGTCTGACGTCACAGCACAGTCATTCATCGGCCGAGGCAACCACAAAGCATCACGATGATCTGTACAATCTGATCGGCCCGCTTCCATTCTTCCGCTTGCAGCAGTCCTCACAAAGATCCAATCATTCCGGACTAGCGCACTGACAATGTCCAAACCTACCGGCACCACAGCAGATTCCGGCTCGCCCGGAAAGAGGCTACTTCAGGATGTCATCAATACAACGTCCACTCGCCCGTCTTTACCGTTGGATAAAGATAGCGGTACTGAACTATACCGACAACACAGTCGCAAGGAAGAGAACATGCAGAATCCAAAGATGAAGAGGGTCGCATCAAGACCGCAGACCTCCAGCTCAAGACGCTCGGTAAACGGCTACATGCCCATAGAAGACTATGGGCTGATTGGAAATATGAGAACATGCGCCATGGTCGCAACAGACGGAGGAATCGGTATGTAAATTCTGCGAACCGTATGTCAAACACATACTGACTTGGAACGCCTACTCCAGATTACATGTGTTGGCCCTACTTCGACTCCCCGTCTGTCTTCTGTCGCATTCTGGACAAGGAAAAGGGCGGTCACTTCAGCATAGGGCCCATCGGCGACGATACATGTACGACTAAACAGCAGTATCTACCTGCGAGCAATATTCTCCAAACACGCTACCTGAAGGAGGAGGGTGTCATGAACGTCGTGGACTTCTTTCCTAGACCGAATGACAAGAACTGGGACGAAAAGTATCACGCGAACGTACTCGCGAGCAACCATACAGGAAGCGTACCAGAACGTCCCGATCTGAAGAAGTGGCTAGTCAGGCGGGTAGAATGTATGCGGGGCAAAGTTGACGTGTGCGTCGAGGTCTTCCCTGCTTTCAACTACGCGCAGGACAAGCATACGACCGAGATTGTCGATATGGGCAAGACTGGTCAAGGACGTTGCCTGCAACGTGTCATCTTCAAATCAAAAGACCTCTCCCTGGAGCTCAACGCAACGATCGATTGTGGGGATGAACCCGACGGCGTTTGCCCAAGAGTGGTTTTTGAGAAGTCACCGGAGCTACAAGACCTGGGCGATGGTGTCACGGCCGCTTTCACTTTAAACGAAGGTCAAGCCGTATCCTTCATACTGCGCGACGCGGAAGACCACAGCCCAGACGTAATTGAGACTGAACAAGTTCAAGAGCTGCAGACCAACACCCAAATGTACTGGGTCAGGTGGATAGAGCAGAGCAAGTATAAAGGCCGATGGGAAGAGGTGGTTACGCGGAGTCTGCTGATTCTCAAGATGCTGACCTTCGAGCCAAGCGGAGCAATCGTTGCTGCACCGACTTTCTCTCTGCCCGAGGACTTTGGTGGATCGCGAAACTGGGACTACCGCTACTCCTGGGTGCGCGATGCGTCGTTCACCATCTACACCTTTCTCCGGATGGGTATTAGCCATGAAGCTGAAGCCTACATAAGCTACATCTTCCAACGTGTCAAAGAGGCCAAAGCGCGGCAAGGAGCTTTGCCAATCATGATGACCATCTGGGGCGGCACAGACATACCAGAGCTCGAACTACCCCACTTGGAGGGATACAGGGCTAGCCAACCGGTCCGGATCGGCAATGGCGCGGCTTTCCATGTACAGCTTGACATTTACGGGGAATTGATGGATGGCATCTACCTCGTTAATAGGTTCTCGCGTCCCATCTCATATGATCAGTGGCTCCTTGTCCGAGAGATCGCGGACTACGTATGTACTGTCTGGAAAGAGCCCGACATGTCGATCTGGGAAGTCCGCGGTAAGAAGCAGAACTTTGTATACAGCAAGATGATGCTGTGGGTAGCCCTGGATCGGGCATTGCGCCTGGCAGACAAGAGGAGCTTCCCATGTCCGCATCGAGCCGAGTGGTACAGGGTCCGCGATGAGATCTACGAGGAAGTCATGGAGAAGGGCTACAACACCGACTTGGAGTGCTTCATCCAGAGCTACGAGTCGAATGATATCCTGGATTCGGCGGTCTTGATTGCGCCTCTGGTCTTCTTCATATCTCCGACTGATCCGCGCTTCCTCAAGACTCTCGACCGCATACTCAAGGCTCCTGAGAAGGGCGGGCTGACGAGTACCGGTTTGGTGTACAGGTACAATCACGCCCTGAGCGACGATGGCGTGGGTGGGCAAGAAGGCGCTTTTAGCATGTGCACGTTTTGGCTCGTCGAGGCGTTGACAAGGGTAAGCGGTCTGCGTTGCAACCCAAAGTTTTGCTTTTTACTGACATCACAGGCTGGCGCGTATAACGAGAAGTACCTGTTACAGGCGGTAACTATCTTCGAAAACATGCTAAGTTTCGGAAATCATTTGCACGTCTTCTCAGAGGAGATTGCGCGCTCGGGGGAGCAGTTGGGCAACACACCACAGGCGTTCAGCCACCTGGCGGTGATTTCAGCGGCATTCAACCTGGACAAGACGTTGACTTTGCGACGCAAGTAGAGTGGCATAGAGGGTGGTAGCGATAGATGGCAATGCAAACCAGACGCTGAAACGTGCATGCATGTTCTAGATGGGCGCGCTAATCTAACGCACAGGGACGATCAGCAGCTAGCACGTCATGGCTTGCATCGTTCCACAGCCGGAAATCGATCTAATGTCGCTAGCTAGAGGATGCCGTACTCTTGGAAGGAATGTGTGGCGCCGGCTACCAACCGCCCCTGGTGCACTGACTGGGCAATCTCCCAGGCTGAGCCGCGCAACTTTCAAGGCTTTCCTGCCCTTTGCACCTCTGGACAACGCACCCCAACCCATCGCCAGCGGGCCATGACATAGCACCTCCATAATATCTTCCTTCACTCTCTATAATTCTACATTCGCTCTCTTGTCGGCCTCTTTCTCGCGTCGTCCACGTACCACACCCGTGCCGTCATCATCAACTGCCCACCTACGCGTCGCAATCCGCACTTCACTCTCACCACCCGCCATCATGTCGCTCTCATCCACCTCCTCCTCTTCCTCCTCCTACAGCGTAACGAACCTTTCCGTTATTGATGAAAAGCTCGAGATGCCACCTCCGCCCACAGAACTCCTCGTCAGAGACTTCGGTTGGCCATCGGTTTCTCCGCGCTACCGCGGCGACCACACGCAAGAAAGCAACCCCGACTGGGAACACGACCCGCTTGATTGCGAAAAGGCCAAGGCAGAGGCCTTTGAGAAGATGGAGCGAAGCTACGCGCTCTACATGGCCAATCTTGAAAAGAAGCCGCCCGTGCAGAAGAAGAAGGCCACCTGGGCTCGCTTCCTACCCTGGGTGCGTGTCTAACGCACTCTATCGACTGCCCCGTCGCCTCCACGACAATGGCCCAGCATGGCCATTGAAGGCTTCGCGGAGAGGCGCGGTTGCTGCGACATGATCCTCGCAGCGCCTACCCACGACGTCGCCTCGAAAAATTGGATACGCACCTGCCCGCCACAAACAATTTCCAAAAGATACCCATTGTTACGAAAGAAAAAGAGATACAACATCGATACCACCGGATTGGGGACAGGAAGGAAGCAATGCCGGTGCACACCCCGGCCCACGCATGATTCGGAGGCAGCTCGGAGTCTAGATCCGGCCTGCCGAGCCATGAGTGACGGGGGAAGGTGCGGGGCTGTCTTCCACCTTGCGCCCTACACTGGAAGAAGCAATCTTTGATACGCGTTTTCTTGTTCCCTTTGTTGCCCAAAAGCCTTGCGCTTCGCTCTACGATCTCGTTAGCATATACCCTTTTTGTATACCCAGTTTAGATTTTTTTATTTGTTACGCCCGATCGAGATAATACTACTAATACATCAACGATTCTTCTTTACCTATCTGGTACGTGGTGCATGTCATCTCGGGGTTCGCATTGCGCCGCGGGGTTATTATCACCTCGACTATCGGGAATGATCACCCTCACTCCACTGTCATGCAGCGGTAGACCATTCCCGACCGTTGCACGCGGTAGATATATCTACATGGCTCCACTACACGACGTGTCGGAAATTTTGCTCAATTTATTCTCCGTCGCTATTGCCTGGTTTCCCTTTGCTCTTTCCCCTTCAGCATTGACGCGCAGGTGACATTCACGCTCCCGTCACACAACTCCACTCGAAACATACCCAGCATATCCTCCATACCTTAACTACACCCATCATGGGTTCAATGCCAGAGAAGAAGACCATGCGTGCGCAACAGTACGATGCGCGGGACAACAAGCTCCACCTCAACGAAATACCCATCCCGACGCCGCGCGAACATGAGATTCTGGTCAAGATGGGTAGCGCATCCCTCTGCCACACGGATGCCATGCTCTTCGAGCCCAATGACCAAGGTCTGATTCTGGGCAAGAACCCCGTCACCATCGGCCACGAAGGAACCGGCAGAGTAGTATCAACCGGCTCGGGAGAGTTAGCCCGAACGTTCAAAGAAGGTGACCCGGTCGGCTTCCTCTGCGCAGTCGACTGCTGCTTCGTATGCTACGCCTGCAAGAACGTACATAATGCGTGGTGCGCAACAGGCGAGACCAAGATACAAGGGTTCAGCGCCGACGGCTATTTCGCCGAATACGCGGTCGTAGATGCTAGGGAAGCGATCATCCTCCCTGAGAACCGTCAGCCATATCTGATCTAGAACCAGAATACTAGCCGCAGGCTAACATATCTCAACAGTCGACCCCAAGACCTCAGCGCCCCTCTTCTGCGCAGGCGTAACAGCATACCACGGCATCGCAGACTGCCAACTACCCGCCGGCTCCTGGCTCGCCGTAATTGGATGCGGCGGCCTAGGCCACATGGGCATTCAATACGCCAAAGCCATGGGCCACAACGTCATCGCCATCGACATCACCGACGACGCAATAGAAGAAGCGCGCATCTGCGGCGCGGACTATACTTTCAACTCCATGGCCGACAAGGACTGGAAGAAGAAGATTGTAGAGCTTACAAAAGGTGGTGTACACGCGGCTGTGAACTTCACGGCGAGCAAGAAGAGTTATGATGATTGTCCCGCCATTGTCAAGGCGGGGCAGGGGATTATTATGGTGGTGGGGATTCCGCAGCAGCCGTTGGAGTTTAATGGGTTGGATATTGCGTTGGGGAGATATCAGGTTAAGGGGTCGAGTAACGGGAGTAAGTTCACTTTTCGTTTTTGTGAACGATGAAGTGGAGATACTGACTATTGTGTGCAGCTTGCTACAATATGAGAGAGGCAGTGGAGTTCTCGGCGAAGCACAACATCACGCCGCATATGACGACGTTTAAGCTGGAGGAGGTGCCGAAGATGGTGGAGCTGATGAATGCGCATAAGGCCAAGGGACGGATGGGCGTGGTGTTTGACTGAAGGCGTTGGCCGTATGGGTGGGAGGCGCAAAATCTACCAAGTTACAAGCGATGTAAGGTGGAAGGCTACTCATCCAAGTTCATCAAAATACACTCATGGCGGTTCAGGGCCGGTTTTTGAAGACTCCGATCCCACACCTTCGACTATAAAGTCTTCTGCTATGGTACCTCTCTCTTCTCCTCACTCACTTACTTTCTGCTCAAACACCAAAAACTTTTGCGAGAGTAACCCATGGCGTCTGGCCTTTCTGTCTCCTCTTTTTCCAAAATTCGCTTGCACGGCCTCATATCTACTTCAAAACGCAAACTTCACTTTATATGTTCCTGAGTTTGGAGTACTGTGGTTATAAACCACTGATTCATTATCTCATGTTGAAGTCTGCACGAAAACAAAAACTTATAGGCAGACACTCTATGGGCTGCTCTTCTTCGGTGTGCGAGCTTCACGCGTCAAAATTTACCGACTCACTTGCCAATTGGACTTGAGCAGGGCTCAAAAGAATTCCAGGGATTGGTCATGTTTGCGCCAAAAAGAGACATCCTACAGATACATGAAGAGACCACTCTCACTTCTCTAATTAAAAACACAGGCAACGTTGGCATGTTTCCAAAAGACACGGTCGAGATCGTAATGTCTGGTCTCTTGTCCGCTCCGTAGTCACCACGATGAACTATAAAACGGCTTTTGCACTTGATCCTCTACTTGTCATCTACAACAACGACGACCAAAAATTATATCCAAAGTCTTTATTCTATTGTGACATGTGCTGGTTTTGCTCTTCTTCTCAAAAGAAGGAAGAATCTCAGTCATGAGCGGAGCAGTAGTTCGCACAACCCAATATTATCTCCCTCTTCTTGGTTCCGACTCTCTTCTAGGTACTTCTTGTATCTCACTCCAAAATAATGCCTGTGGAAATGACATGGAGAGATTGTTTCTGCGGCAATAAAATCAACTTAGTAACTTTTCATGGCTTCGAAAGATTGGTTGTGGCGTTACATGAGATCCTCGCTGTGGAAGTACTCAAAAGACAACCACCTCTGCAACATCAACATGAGAAGTGTGCCCCGGGGTCATGCTATCACCCATGCTCGATCTTAGCCAGGAGCCGGTGCACGAGCCTGGCAAGAAGTGCTTAAATGCTTATCTCTTTCGACTCCTCTCTCTGCTTTTCATTCCACACAACTTTCCACATTTACCAAAATTAAGCTAGCCCCAGCGCCATGTGCTCCTGTCTTCCTCTTCTCCAAAACCGAAATACCCAAGTTCCGTGGACCGACCCAGAAGCAAATCAAAACAAATCGCAGAGACCACGATGTGTTCTTCCTCAGTTTCTTCCGCCTACATCTCTCGCTTCCAAACAACATGAACAGAAACGCATGATGGAAAAGCACTTGGAATAAGATACAGAGTCGCTAATTGCATGTTTCTGAGTGCGGAGATTGAAACTTCGCAAGATACACCTGATGGGGCTGTAGCCTTCTTTGGCCGGTCTAGAAACTGAGGACAGTTGAACATAAATACTCGCCCGCTGTCCTGTCTCATTCACACTACACACTTTCCGAGATCCACCAAAAGTCTTGCTGCACAAAGCCATGGCTTTCTGTCCTCTCTTTTTCTAAAACAGCAGATGGTGTCGTTCATGTCCCAGCTGAAAAGTGAACAACGATATATTCGAGCTTCTTGCCTGGTTCCTCTCTGAACTATCTTCTAGTCATTCAACAATCTTCAGAATCCGAAAATCCGGGACTGTGGATTCATGTTTGCGTTCTGGTGTGCCAAAAAGATTTCGTGGACGACTTTATGTCTTCGAGACAAGGGTAGCAAATCAAAACGAGCCGCGAGCGTGTACATGGGGATCGGGTCGTACTGGTTCTTCAATTCAACATCAAAATTGCCCAAGAGCTAATGGATGAGCAGACTCGCGAGGAGCGGGCTATATAAACACCACTCCCTCCTTCTCTGACACTCCAACACACCTCCTCCATCTATTTTCTAAAAGACGTCTGGGTGCGCTTTGATGTGTTGGCCTCTCTCCTCTTCCCAAAGACAGATCGGCGAGTTATCCATGCAGGTAGCTTCCACTGCAAAAGTTATCATACGGCACTTCATGAACTAAGATCCTTTCTTCCAAAACCAAGATCTGTCTGCTCGATGACCCAGCCTCGCGGTTCCCAATTGTTCATTTGCTATGAACCATTACCCAAAGATATTATCGCAATAGTCGTATGTCTTCTGCAGAAGACATAGCACTTCATCCGTCGCTGAGAACCTTCCCTGCCTGAAATAGTTTCAGCTTCAACACATGTCCCTCCTCGAGAGACAGCATTCGCATATAAAACCACTCTCCTCCGCCGGTCCTTCTTGCTTTCTATACCACCTTCCAATTCTTTGTTCTCCAAAACCGAAACAAGACCATTTCTATGGAGTCTGCCTCCTCTTTCTCCTCCAAAATTACCAAAGAAAAGAAGACTTGAGCCCATGTTGGGACCAGAAAACCACAGCTGCCCAGTTGATGTTTGTCGGTATTCCAAATACTAATGGCTGCATGGTGTTGCCTCTGCGCGAGGGAAACTATTATAAATGCGCATTGGACTTGCGAAGACTCTAAACCCTTCACTTCACTTCTCTCATTGCACAAAACCAAAATCCTACAGCAGCTTGCATATGGGTGTGCCTGCTCTGAGAACCGAACCATAAACAGCAGTGCACTGCTTCTTCACTACACCAAAACGACTGCGTTTCGCGATATCAAAAGCCGTAGGGTGTCTAAACATGACTGTGGTCGCCTGGCTGGTTTTTCTAAAAACAACAATACCGAGTTCGTGATGTTGGAATCAAAAGATACCACGCCACGCACATGTGCCCTGCTGAAGAACTTACTTCACACCCTCATGGAGAAGAGAGTTGTGGACAGTCCTTGTTATACCCAAACCTGTACTTGATCTGTGCATATGTGGTGGCTTTGAGACGTGTTCCGATAGCAATCCAAATATTGAACGATACCCCCAAATAAGCGCTGTGGAGACGACGGGTGTGGACATCATGGTGGTAGTGGTGATGATGGTGATGATGATCATTACTCTTGTTTTGTCATTGTTCTTGCTCTTCATCGTAAGGCTATAGCCAAGCACATAGCCTGCTACCGGTACACTCCATACTTCATACTCCATCCTCCATGTGTCTTGATGCCTATATCGTACACCGCCCTGTCCCTCCTCTCCATCATCACCATATTCGCTTCCTCTCCTATACCAGACTCACACTCTTAGACGATAGTCTCCAACTCCCTCGCATACCCCAGCGTATTCTCAATAACCTGATCACTCGTAACCAAAATATCCCTGTTCAGATACTCGTCCTCCTGCTGGGGGAAGTATATCCTGCCATCCTTGACAACCCAACCGCTCTCCTTCGCAAAGTTGACGACGCTGCCTTCCGAGTCGAGGAAGAGGAGGGATTTGGCGTCGGAGATGGGGATGGAGGGGTATGCGCGCTCGGAGCAGGAAGCGATTTCCTTGCGGATGGTTCCGATGAGGATCTAGAGACGTGTTAGCAGATGATCCGGTTGAAATTATGAAGGATGTCGTGTGTTTGGTGGTAACTACAATAATGACGTACCTCAGTAAACAGCGCAAACTCCTCGCCAGGCACCCTCTCGCTCTTCGTCTCAACCCACACCTTGTCGTAGCTCCCCTCCATAAGCGCCTGCTCTAGACGAATCGGATACTGGATAAACGGATCAGCCTCTAGCTTCGCGCTCGCCTGGGCGGCCGCCACCTCGAGCGTCTCGAGCAGCGTGTGGAAGCCCGCGTAGTCGCCCTCGCTCAGCAGCAGCAAGAGGTACAGTCCCGTGACCTTGCTCGATTGGCTGCCATCCTTGGGTAGTGTGGACTCTGGCAGCGAGTAGAAGGGCTGCAGCTGCTGGAAGTAGCGGGTAAAGGACTCGGTGTCTTTGAGGCGGATGGAGATGATGGCGCCGAGTTCGAGCGTCTCACGCGCGAGCTGCAGGTGTTTCCGCGGGGACTTCTCTTGTGGGATCAGGGCGTTGAGGTTGAGGAGGGCGATCTTGGCTTTGCTCAGTAATGAGGTGGATTGCTGGTAGTTGTGCGACTTGAGCGTCTGGTGGAGCTGCTGAAGCACGCTGGAGAGTTCCTTTTCGGCCATGGTGTGCGGTGTCTCGCTTTTGGTGGTGGTTGTAGATGATGGGGAGGGTGAGCGCGGGGATTGGGCGGGTTGATGGCGTGGTCGGGTTGGGGTGTTTGTTGCGGCGAGTGGAAGCTTCGGTGGTTTACGTCGGGGGACCGTCGGCGTCGGAGGTGCTGGCCTTAGCGTGGGCTGCGTACTCACCGACCGCCACGGCGCGTCATAACCCTCAAACGTCCTATAACGAATATATGCCATAGTTTTCACTTGCTGTCAAATACGCTGAACATATCCATGAGCGCAAACAGTACGATTTAAACACTTTTCAAGATATAAGCCTGACATCCCACGCGTGCCAGGCACCAACACACGCAGATGACCTAGCCGGTCACATTGTCCCAGCGTGGGAATATCACTATTGGCAACTGGTATGCTTTGGTATTGGTCTACTTCTGTTTGCGATACTGCAGCTGACATTCCTTCTTGCACATTTTAGAGTCTGCCTTGCATGACCGATTGGGTAGTCAGCACGCCACGCCTTACCTTGTGCTACCGTAGAGATTACTTGTGTGAAAATCTTCTACCCAGAGTACCGTATCGGGGCATATAGACATGTCCATGGCCTGACCGGTTCGTAGTTCCAACACATCTCACCACCGTCAGACAGAATATTGTCAAATCATGTCCCTTCGGCTTATCTTCTTCTCCCAAACTTTCCCTTTCCACCTCCACCAGTCGCTGCCTTGCCCTTGATGTTGAGTCTCCGATAATTGGCATTTGCCGTAGCCTTGATCTTTCGGGCCGCCGTCTTCAGGACGCCTTCTTTGACCGGCTTCTCCTTTGCTTGCTCTGGTTTC